AGACTCGGACGACGATGAAGAAGACGATGAGGAGGGAGCGGCCGGCGACGTCAAGAAGGAAGAGGACGACAGCGACGACGAGATGGCAGACCCAGTCAAATCCTCCCTTCCTCAACCGGTGCAGGACTTGATGGGCCTCATCTTCAACCAGCAATACTTCCGCGAGGCCATGACCTCCATGAACTACGATGCCAACAAGCTGCCTCTCGGAAAGCTCAGCAAGAATACCATTCTAAGAGGTTTCCAGGTGCTCAAAGACTTGGCCGCTCTTTTCAACGACAGCACGCTTGCCGACTCCGAATACCACATGTCGGTCCCGGCTGCGACTGAGCACTTGTCCAACTCGTACTACTCGCTGATACCCCACGCCTTTGGTCGCAACCGTCCGCCCATCATTGGATCTGGTGCTATGCTGAAGAAGGAAGTCGACTTGCTCGACAGTTTGTCTGACATGAAGGTCGCAGCGGACCTTATGAAGGTTGATCGCAAGAATACGGACGTTCACCAAGCCGACAGACAGTACCAGGGTCTCGGAATGGAGGAGATGACTCCCCTTGACCGCAAGAGCGCCGAGTTCACCCTTCTTGCCGAATACCTGAATGGATCCAGGGGCTCTACCCACGGCCACACCTACAAGATTGAGGACATCTTCCGGATTGAACGACAGGGCGAGCTGGAGCGCTTCGAGAAGAGCGAGTTCTCATCCATCAAGTCCGACCGCAGATTGCTGTGGCATGGCTCCCGAGTCACCAACTATGGTGGTATTCTCAGCCAGGGTCTCCGAATCGCCCCTCCTGAGGCCCCCGTGTCGGGCTACATGTTTGGCAAGGGCATTTACCTTGCAGACATGTCGAGCAAGTCAGCAAACTACTGCGCCTCCTATAACTCAGGGGGTCAGGCGTTGCTGCTGCTTTGCGAGGCTGAGCTTGGTGACCCAATGCAGAAGCTTACGAGAGCGAGTTATAACGCGGGCGATGATGCAAAGGCAGGCGGCATGTGGTCCACTTGGGGTCAGGGTAACACCGGGCCGAGCAAGTGGAAGGATGCTAGCTGTGTCAACCCGGACCTTAAGGGAATCCAGATGGTGAGGACAAGCCGCACCTCAATTGCAACGCAAAGATCTATTACTAACGATTTCGCAGCCCGACGTGAGCGTTACGCCGGGCCCCACCAATGTTCCAGGCGCATCCCTCATGTACAACGAGTATATTGCTTACGATCTTGCTCAAGTCCGTCTTCGGTACTTGTTCCGCGTCAAGATGTGAGGTAGCAGGTGGAGAGGCTGGAAAGATCTAACAGCATGGCTTCAAATGAAAGTTATCAAGACCCTCGAGGCAGGGTTGCATATTTGCAAAAGAATCGACCAAGGTAAAAGGTTTTTACTTTCTATTTCATTACCACTGGCAACTGGCGTTCGATGTAGCTAGGTAAATAAAAGGAACAACTAACTTGCTAGTATTTTACACGTTGTCTGCTTGCCCATTGCCAGTAGATGTGAATATGCTCTGACAATATCCGATATCGCCGTGCCTATGGGCGGCTCATTACCAGCCATTTCATTGACTGGTCCCCCGTGGGTTTGACGAATTCAATTGAAATGCAGGAAGCTACTGTCTATCAATTTTCCAAGTGTCTCGATCTCTGCCCTCCAGACTCGACGAGATCATCCACTTCACCAGTATCTTTCCCACGCACTGCCTCCACCTGCTCATACACTCTATCCAGCCCCCAAATAGTCCACACAACACACCCCAGCACTGCAAACTCCATCAAGACCGTCATGAACAGATACGTTGTCGTATCCCCACTCACCGCACTAAACCTCCTCTCCCCGGTACTAACATAGGCAATCGTATACGAGATCCGCACAACCATGAAGGGGAAACACCCCGCGAACCCGACCATGGCCCGCCTCTCTGCCTGCGGAATCCGTCTCCACTCCCTCGCTAGAAGCACGAAGAGGAGGACGCCACAGAAGTAGAGCGCGGCAAAGAGGCCTACACCCGCCCTCGTGAGCGTGCCGGGCGCCGTGGCGTTGGATGTCTTTTTGGCTGCGACGATGTAGTCTGCGATGGAGATGCCGAGGCCGGCCCAGCAGATTAGTTCGGGGATGCGGAAGTGCCATTGTGTCAGGACCTGGACGAAGGCGTTGCTGTTTCGTGGGTGGTGTGTCAGCGTCGGTGTTCTCTTTTGTAAAGCAGTGGACACTGGATAGAGACGGGGACTTACACCCTCTTGAGCAGATCAAGCAGTACAAAGGTCAAGAGCACGAGACCGAGGGATTCGCAGACAAAGATGGCGGCCCAGACTGCGCGCGAAGAGTTTGTGAGTGTTCCCAGCATGCAGCCGGCGCCGACGATGCGGATGGTGGAGATGAAGGAGATGCCGAGCCAGCCCATTTTCTTTTGGATGCGGAAGAGGATGCCGAAGGCGAGGTAAACTAGGAATACGATGATTTGGGCGATTGCTACGCCGTCGCGGTATCGAAGGGAGCGTGCCATTGCGGTGTTAGTGCTGATGTTGCCGGGTGTAGGTTTGGCGATGTCGAGAGTAACGGGAGAAGGGCCTTTCTGAACCAGCGTGAAGGGAAAAGCTACCCAAGCTCAATAACGGAAATCTTTTTCAATTATCTGATTTTATGGCGCATTTTTGTTTGAACGTGATGCCTCCGATCATGTAAGCTCTCGCCGGACGGACCTTCGGCGCAGATCTGCAATGTCCCCCGGCCCCCGTTCGGGAGGCCGCTCATGGGGACCCACTTTATTCCGTTAAGCGAGTGCGAGTGCGCTATGCAGGCAAGGCAGTGCTGCGGATTTCTTGAGGTAACGATTAAGGTCCAATGAAAAGCAATGCGACATACCAAGACGGATTTATGAGGATTTGATCTGCTAATTTGCTGACTTTTCAGCCCCTGGATGATGGGCGGATCGTCTGCTCAGCCCTGCTGTAAGGTTGGACAAGCGTCAAAGGAACATGACAGCCATCATCCATCCCTCAGCCAAGAAGAATTTACCGTGAGACAAATTGCATTTCAGATGAGATGACAGCCGCTGCCTGCAGTTGATCGAAAAAGTTGGGCTGACAGCTAGCGGCTTTGGATGAAAGGGCAGTATTGCTGAACACCCGCCCTCTGAGTCAGTCTCATCTCGTCGTGCACCAACAACTGAACATCCAGAACTGGCAGGGTTTTGGCGGAATATTTCATTTTCCCAACGAAATTGACTGACGATCCTGCTACGAATTCAACAACTGAATTTGCCGACATGGCTATTCCAACCATACCTTAGCTAGGTCCCACCGTTGAAAGACAACATGGATGGGACTAGTAGCTATTTCTCCAACATGCCCTTTCCTTATGAAGTCATCGCGGGGCATCGGACGCCGGATTTAGGCCCCACGCCAGAAACTCTAAACTCTAAACGCCGGCAGTGGCTTCCGATTTCTCCTTTCCACCTTTCCACCTTTCATCATCGCACCCCGTCTCAGTGATTGCCACCATCCGATAGTCACTTAGACTTGTGCGACAACTCGAATTGCTCAAAACCTAGGAACAACTGTGCCTGTAATCGTGCGGGATGCTTTGCGACATTTGGGAGCCCAGCGACAATTGGACTGGCATATCTGATCAAGCGCAAAGAAAGAGGTTGCAAAATAAGCTCAACCAGCGCGCGTATCGTTAGTACTGCTCCGGAAGGATGCAAAGTCCCAACAAACTCACCCTGGCCAGGTAGGAGACATGGAAAAAAGGGCGACCAGGCATCATCGAATTCAGGAGAATCAGATGACATGGGCGTGATGTGCACAATAGTCAGAGACACGGCCATCAAACAGCACGAGGCTGGAGCTGAAGCCGCCAGCCTCAGAGGTGCTTATAGAAACGACGAGAGCATTTTGACTACGCTATTGGCCGGATGCAAGCTCATCAGGTGTCCTCGACGGCAAGCTTTAGCTCGAACACGCATACAGCAAGTATACGAAGACTACTCTCTCCACGCTCCTAGGCCAAAAGCTTTACATATACTCGTGCGGCTTCGAGTTCTAGCCGCCCTCGCTCACAATGCCTCCTGCATGGGGTTTCCTCCAGAAGGCTTGTGCCGAGCAGACTACATCTCACCGTATAATTCCTACGGCCCCTTGATGCCCTCTCAACCACGCATGGCCAGTTCAGCCCTCCAGCCCACTCCTTTACAAAGAACGGTCCTTCACCATCCCTGGATCGATCTTTTTCCTTTCCCCCGACTGCGGGACAACATTCTAGTCGGGCTCGCCAAAAGCGATCTGGACGACGACGAACTATGCGCTGATATCTTGGAGGTCAAGGATGAGGACCTCAGCGACAAGCCTTCGCTAATTGTATGGGGCGAACCCTGGGACTGGAAGGCATGGGAGGCAAACGAGGACTTCTTTACGAAGTGGGGATTCTTGGTTAAGGGGTGTCCGGAGCTCTTAGAGGCTACAAACTCCTGGAGGGTCAAACGGGGTGAAGAGAGGCTTGTATTTGAAGTCTGAGCTCAGCCCGGAGTCGATGGCGTGGTTGTCAAGGCACTGTAAGCCTAGATTACGGACAAGAAAGGGTTTGCCAAATGGGATACTTCCGAGTTCTCAATTTGCATTTCTTTTGCTACTTGTTGCATTGGAAAGCTTCAATATGTTCTTCTTGAGGCTTATGAGGTAAAGACCATCAGTGACAACATGGACTGACTGCCAACTTAAGAGCAGGATATCGAGGTAAATATTCGTCGAGTGTACGTGTCAGGCTTCCAAGGACGATGTTCCATGCAAAATCGTCAGGCCGCGCCTCGTTGGCCCGTGGGCACGCGATTGAAAATAAGAGTTGCATCTCCGCAGGCAACTCCGCCAGATCTCCGCGTCCGACTTAGCCCCCGTAGCCAAACCTTGTTTCGGACAACACAACCTCTCTCGAGACCTCCAATATCTCAGCCTTCTCGACCACCAGAGGACTGGTGACCTGTTTGGCTTCAACAATCCATCAGCTCACCATGGCCCGCAGATCGAAACAAAAGTCCTGCTTTGCTTGTGTGGAAGCAAAGAGGCGTTGCGACCAAAGTCTCCCGGCCTGCTCACGGTGTCTGGACAAGGAAGTCGTTTGCACGTATCCCACTGTCCGGCGAAGTAGACAAGCGCCTATATCGAGCCATGTCAGCTCGCGACTGGGATCCGGATGGGATATCGAGGCCTCGTGGCCAGGAAGCGACATCGACAATATCGGGGTCGTGCTGGATGAGGCCCTTTTTGCTCCGGTATCCGCACCCGGGCCGGCAGCAAATATCGCCGCAACGACGATGACAGCCACGTCGTCTTCCTCCACCTCCTCCGCCGCCATAAGTCAGATCACCTCCGATAGCGCTTCGAGGCCTGATGTCCCCAACGCGGAAGGCTTGAACTGGTTTCTCCAATCCACCTCCTGGACCATCGACTACCAACGCGAAGCGCCGGTGTCAATTCCGCCAGCCGCAGTCTTTACCAACTTCATCCGCGGACTGCAATCTTGGCTCGTCCGCTTCCTCCACAAGGGGTGCAATCCCTTCATCCACCAGCACCTCTACTCCGAGACGACCATGCCCCAGTGTATCCAGGATGCATACGCAGCTATTGCTATAGCACAAACCATCACCCCGGATAACGAGCACGTGGTAGACGCGGTGTCGTCGAATTACATCATGACCCTCTTAGCCGCCAACTCCGCAGACGAGGCTCCGTTTCTCCCGATTCTCTCGACAAGGCAACACCTAGCGCGCACTCAGGCTCTTTTGATCCACCTGCTCTTGTGCCTCTTCTCCCCGTCAATACCTCGGAGAAGCAAAGCGGAGAACTTGATAGACACCCTGCGTCTCTGGGCCCGCCAGCTGTGGGAGTCGGCAGCGCTAGATGCAACGACGTCCCCAGTTTTCCCCAACTTTCTATCGAGGATGTCATGTACTCAAACCATTGAGACGGACGTAGTCACCAGCTTGTATCAAGCCTTCATCCTCTCCGAGTCCATCCGTCGCACCTTCCTTCTTACGAGTATGGCTACGGGGGTATACACCAGCCTGAAAGAGACTTGGACTCATGACTGTGCCGGTGACGTCTGTATCACGCTCCGCGGCGAACTCTGGGAAGCTTCCTCCTCTGCCCGCTGGGAAGCCGCCGCGCGGAAAGAGGACCCTTTATTTCTGCATAGCCTAAAGGGACAGTCTCTGGTGGCCCGAGGAATTCGGGCTGCTGAGGTTGATGAATTTGCGCGGCTGATGTTCACTCTTCTATGGGGATTGGAAAAGGTGGATCAGTGGGTTGTGAGCACCGGAGATTGTGTTTCTGTAAACTATGGGACTTGTGTTTGAGCTCTACCGAGTTTGGCGTTATGGGTTAAGTAGCCTATTGCTCATCATTGCAACGAAATCAGTGAAGTGGTGCAGTGCTCATCTAGTTACCGTGAGACGTGCATGTGGCTTCTCTTGAGGATCCGAAATAGCAATTTGTTTCTAAGTTGTTGACTGCATACATATACATACACATGTACTCTACATGGAAGCACAGCAACAAGCGAGCTACCAAAAGTGATTCGAGAGACTTTTGCACCTGATTAAGTCAACATACCCACTTCCTGGCACCCCCCTGTTTCTGGCACCCACAAAAACGCGAAAATCCACCACAACCCAATGCCCACCCCCAACCTCCTTTTATCACAACATTTTCAATTCGCGTCCAAATGGGCTCATCTTTTGCACATGTCTTCTTCTATATATAATGCCTCAATATACCGAAGATCAGCTTCGTCAGGCTCTCGAGGA